CTTTGGAGGAATGATTCACCAAAGTATCAAAAAGTGAAGTATTCTTAATTATAGTATTTTGGCCCTTGTGTATAAAGTTAAAATCATAAATAATATTCAACGTGAAACTGGTACACGATTAAAAACATTTTATTTAAGCCTACCTATGGCCTTTAAAAAGTTGACAATAAAAAGACAATAAGACAATTCAAAGACAATAAAATAAAACATTATTTGTTTTAAAATACTGATCTGTGTTTGTTCTTTTGTTGTTGTTTTTTTCAGTAAAGAACTGCCTTTCGAATCCTTGCAAAAATGGTGGAACGTGTGAAGAAGAAGAAGATGGATTTTACTGTCACTGCCCATCTCATTTTGGAGGAAAAACTTGCTCGTTAAGTTTCGGTAAATTAAAAAAAGTTCTAATGTAAGGGGACGTTACAAAAAGAAAATAAATAGTACAATGAATAATTATCTCTTGCTCGTTAAGTTTCGGTAAAATAAAAAAACTTCTAATGTAAGGGACGTTACAAAAAAAATAGACAGTACAATGAATAATTATCTCTCGAATCATCTAATGAATTATGCTCTGTTTCTTTACACAGTGGATTTGATTTAATGGTAATTATATTTCTTGTTTGTGGATATACTATTGTTATAAAAACAAGTTAACTGAAGATATGTCTTGTTCAACATTATTCTTAATTTATTCATAGCAGCTCGAAGTAAAAAGTGTGTAAAAAAATAGTATTCGAGATCCCCCCTTAATTGTCTTCCATAAATCATGGACTGACCAATAAGCATTTCGTTTAATACCAGAACTCATCAGTTGGGCTGGACGATGAGAGACTAAAGATTTATGAAAAACTATTCATATATGCAGTTTAATACTTTAAAAGTTACAGTTTAAATGCCGAAATATTGTGAAATATTGGAAGCCAGTAAGTATAAATAGTGTTGTAAAAACAAGTTATTTTTTCTCCTATTCTTAATTTTGCCATCGCGGCTAGAAATCAAAGATGTCGTGGAAAAATTATTTGCTAAGATATATATATATATATATTATAGTTTGCAATAAAAATTATTAAACGAAAAGCTTTTTGGTCGTGATTTGTGGGAGACAAAAGATAGATTTCAAATGTTATTTTTTACAGACTTCTGATTTCGAGACGAATGAACAAATCAAGAGGAATGTTGAAAAACCAATCTCCAGTTAACGTGTTTTTATAACAATTTCTGGGCCTGTTGACTTTCTAATATTTCTCCAGTTTACGAGATTTAAACTGTAACTTTTAAAATACATTTTGTATTGTAGCGCCATATGAAGTTAAGGCAGTCGGCTCGCCATCTGCGGGTTCGAATTCCCGTTCCGACAAACATGTTCGCCCTTTCAGCCGTGGGAGCGTTATAATGTGACGATCAATCCCACTATTCTTTGGTAAAAA